ATTGATAAATGGCGCAAAAACTCTGAAGGGGAGATGATATTCTGGCTGAGTGGTGCGGCTGGGACTGGAAAGTCAACCATCGCTCGCACCGTTGCTCAAAGGTTATACAAAGCAAAGGAATTAGGAGCCAGTTTTTTCTTTGCACGGAACAAAGAAGGTCGTGGAGATGGGGCGCAATTTTTCAAATCGCTTGCTTATCAACTTGCCCAAGTTATTTCGGATGTAAAGGAGCATATATGCGATACAATCGAGAAGAACGACGATCTCATTCATTGGGATTTTCAGGAACAGTGGGAAAGGCTTGTTTGCAACCCACTAAATCAGACGAAGGACAAGCGCCCTTTGTATATTGTGGTTGATGCACTTGATGAATGTTTAAGTAAAGACATCAAAATAATCATGAAGCTCATCACAAACCGAAACAAAGATGATCGGCTCATTCGGTTCTTCATTACTAGTCGACCAGAGACACCTGTACAGAATGCATTTCAGAGAGGAACTGCTACTCACTACTCATTTGCACTCGAGGGGGGCATCACTCAGGAAGAGAATGAGCATGACATCTTTACCTTTCTACGCGGTCGGTTAAAAGAAATTGTGATTGATCATCGTGAAATCCTGTTTCAAGAAGAACAAGCCAAACGACTAGAATGGCCAGGCGAAGAGATTATTTCTACCCTGACTAAAAGATGCGGTCGGTTGTTCATATACGCAGCGGTGGTATGTCGGTACATAGCTGATGGCATCGACGCTTCGCGACGTCTCGAGGATGTGATTAATGAAGGCGCACATGCTAAGTCATCTTTGCAGCCAATCGATGGCCTGTACTTGAACATTATGAGACAGTTTTGTGATACGAACATCAAGAGTCAGGAGTTTTCCGATCTTTTCAAACCAGTAGTGTGTGCAATTGTCACAGTACTCGATCCACTCTCAGCTATTGATTTGGCTCTCCTGCTTGACAGACCACTGCACAATGTCGCGGGAGCCATAAATCCACTATCATCTGTTCTGAATAACACAAGAAAGAGCAGCAATGAACAGAAATCTACTATTCAGTTAATCCACCAATCGTTCCGCGATTTCCTCCTCGATCAAAAACGATCAACTGATAAATTCTGTGTTTCCGAAAAGAGCGCCCACAAGGAACTTTTCTATAGTTGTCTCAAGGTTCTACAAAACAAGATCTCGAAGAAGGATAGTTTTGAATTCAAAGGACTGGAGTCTGGTATGTCTAGGCAAACGTTAAAGAAGTATGGACACGTTAAGTATGCCTGCCGCTATTGGATTGACCACTTGCAGCAAAGTGGACTCAGTATTTCGGATGACGATGAGGTTCATGAATTCCTCCGAGGATACTTTATACAATGGTTAGAAGCTCTATGCCATATTGGAGAGATATCGAAGGCTTTGGACTTCATAAGCATATTAACATCACTCGTGGTAAGTTTTATTCATAATTTCATCTCTTCAGGCAGTTCTAGTTCAGTTCGTTGTATTTACACATTATCCCATTTTGGGGCTTTTTGGGGCTTTTTGTCTCGACATCAATATTCCAATGTCTGAACCCAAATTAAAAATTATATTCGGGAATTTCAAAGCTTTCTGAAGATTTGAAGATTATGTCTTCAAATCTAATTTTGAATATGCTCGGATTTTGAATGACTGGCCCCGATCTATAATGTTGAATACTCAACTTGAGCTAATGTCGATGATTTGAGTAGAATATTGATGCAACCGACCTATCTTTGTTCCTTCAAGATGCAAGAAGGTTTACGGTTAGAAACATAGCAATGATTACTGCTTCGCCTGCCCAACTTTATTCTTCAGCACTCATCTTTGCCCCCGAGGCAAGCCTAGTGAAGAAAGCATTCATAGGCGAGGTTCCCCCAGGAATCCATGTAAGAACAAAGATGGAATCAGCATGGACTGCAGAATTTCAGACAATAGAAGTCACCCCTGGGCAAAGAAGGCATAGTGATATGCTATTGGCATTATCTGAAGATAATAGACTATTAGCATCATCATACCTCTCCTCTAGCGACGTTAAGCTCTGGGATTTGTCGACTGGTATTATTCTTTATACATTGGACTGTTCTGGATCTACGGCACTGGCATTCTCAAGAGATGGTATGCTTTTAGCAACATGCAATTCAAGCTATATCGAGATCTGGAATTCCACTACAGGGACTCGGCAGATCTATCTTCGCCACAAGATTGATGGTTATCGAAGTATCGACACATTAGTATTTTCAGCAGAAGGCGATTTTCTTATGTCAAAAAGTCGGTCCAAGGTCACTATCTGGCGCCGCTTACAGGCACATGAAACGGCCTGGACTATTGATTGGGTATACAAAACTCCAGGTCCGGACATTATGTCCGTAGCTTTCTCACCCGATACTAAGCTCTTGACAATTTCCATGAACTCTGTTATTAAGCTCTACATACTTGAAGGTGGAACCTGGCTTCCCCGAAGGTCAATAGAGACATGGGATGATTTCTGGGGGCTAGAGAAACTTTTGCCAAATGGTAACTTGGCTGTTTATGTTGACGGAAAAAGTAATATTTATATTTGTGATCTTACTATGCCGACCCCAAGCGTCGAACAAATATTGCTGGGAGACTCTCCCAGACGAATTTGTAAAATTGCACTGTCAGGAGAGGGCAAGTTGCTTGCGACAGTAGATGTTGATGGAACGATAAAGCTTTGGAACCTTATCGATCGGAGCCTTCAGGGAATATTGGATGTTGGGATTCCATGGGGTTCATTTTTGCTTTCACATGATGGCACATTGTTAGTGACACACTCAGAAGAAGATGTGGTCCGGTTTTGGGATTCTGCCACGATCACCCTCAATGAGAAATCGAAGTCCCATTCCATAAAAATGGTTAAATTCTCCCCCGATGGTAAGCTAGTAGCATGTGGATTTTCCGATGGGACTATTCAGCTTTGGACACCTTCCACGTGGGCCTTACAACAGAAACTCGGGTATTCATCTCAAGTATCGGTGTCCTCAAGAAGCTCTAGACAATTTTTAAGGTGCCCATTTGACTCGACAGATATGGCAGCACTGTCCTCAAATAGCCAAACAGCAGCAACAGTCTCAAATAATAACATCATTATTTGGCGTCATGTCACACATCCAGATCCTGCCTGGGTTTGTGAACAGACACTAACAGATTATCCCGGAGCAGTCTGCGCATTGGCATTCTCGTCCGACGGTACTATACTAGTGATTGGCTTTGCTGACGAGTGTATGATCTGGTGTTCTACTCAGGAAGATCCTCGTCAATGGGTTCTGCAACAAACGCTATCGGATGGTATCAGAAAGCCAATCACGGCGGTGGCAATCTCATCGGATGGAAGCATGATAATGGGTGTGTCAAAGGCCATAAATCTCTGGTGCCGCACCGAAAATCAACCGTCTAGGTGGACTCCTTCAAGTGCACTACCAGTCAACAAGAAGTTAGAATCAGCAAACTCAGTAGTGTTGTCGCCAGATGGCAATTATGTTGCGGCGGGTTTCGATAATGGACAGATTGTAAGATGGGATACTGCCTCGAGAGAATACTCATCGCTATACAACTTCGACTACGATAACTATAGGAGCAACGGTTTCCCACACTATGCCCTGCCTGTTATATCACTGGCATATTCGCCCAATAGCAGGTTACTGATTTCCAATCACGGAGACAAAATTATAACGATCTGGCGCCCTAATACTGAATGCCAACCCAAATTATATCGCTGCTATTGTGAGGAATTGGGGGAGAAAATATCCCGCACAGTCAAGATGTCATTTTCACCGAACAGCGAATTGCTGGCTTTGGGCTCTGATGATAAAACTATCAGGATACTGGATATCACTGCCGAACGTCCAGTTTGTCTACCGATAGTAGGTGGCTATCGAGGAGACATTGGAGCAATATCATTCTCATCAGATTCCAAGCAAGTGTTGGTGCTGTGTTTCTACCTCCAAGTTATCTCATTCTCATATTACCATCTATATCACATCCAGACACTCCCTTTACCCGAGAGTGGCCGTTATTCGTTGGACATGGCAGTTACATTTTCATCGGACAGTCGAGTGCTAGTTTCAAGAAAGAGAGAAGGTCGTTTCGTATCTACCAATATCTGGAGACGCCTGGGAGGAGAACAGTCTGTATGGACTCTTCAACAGACTCTCCAAGACCAACAAGAGACGGAGGAAACTTATAATATGATGTCTTTTTCTGAAGATAATCAATATTTTCAAACAAACAAGGGACCTCTTTGGATCGACTCCCTTTGTGTGAGCAATCCTCTCAAGCCACATGACTTGAGCTACATTCTGATAAAAAACAACTGTATCGAATGGGGGCCAGCAGATAACCGAAGGGTGATTCATATTCCATTCGAGTACCGACCTGTCTGTTCAGATGTCTATGATAATGTTCTTGTTATGGGTGATGCTTCCAATAGGGTCACCTGTATGGAACTCACATAGCCTGCGATTCACGATCGTATGTCGAAGGCAGTTCATGCTTGCGATGATGCAACTATGAAATGAGCGGAAGGCGGAACAGGAGAATTTTCAGTGACATCATCGCTGGCATTTTGGGACAAATACGATATTTTCTTTCTACTTGAATGTATTCAAAGGTTTGAATTTTAGTCCAATTCTTTATTTTCGTTTTTGGGAGGGTTCATACAAATTACTATCTGGCATCAGAATTCAAATTGAATATTCAACATGCGCACTGGGCGAAAAGTTCTTGAATGATACTGATTTACCTTTATTTTCGTAATCGACTTTCTTCTCATCACTTACCACAATAGTGTTTCTAACACCAAGAACAGGAATGTCATCTTCATTCAATCTCCTATCGCACGCTTGACCTACGCACCATTCTGTCGTTCCTTCCAGATCCATTCCTTTCATCGTTTCCTATCTTCCCCCCAACATATCCCATAATATAAACCCAAACCCCAATAAAACAATAAAATAATAAAACAACAAGGCACTACAGAGAAGTGGTTAACGCGACGCCCTGATATTTACTCACTGGGTATAGGAATAGCCAGACATTTCCTTCGGGAGCCAGAGTTCGAATCTCTGTGGTGTCGTTTTCTTTTGGTGGATTGGGGGAAAAAGGTAGAAAGGGAGGAATAGAACGGGGAAGAAGCTGTTAGATAGATAGGTACTGAGTAGATGCATAAGGATCTTTAGGTCTCGTATTTTCGTAGGTACTTATTATTACCATACTATTTTAGACCCAGTATAGGTATGAATATGTGAAGTGGACATCACCAGCCGCCCCCCAGCGAGCACTGTACATACAGTAGGTAGCCGATTAGCGAAATCTACAATAGGTACTAGGTAGGTAGTAAGAATAAAGACAAAGTAAAGAAACAAAAGAACTAATGTATATATATATGTGTGAAAACTTGTACCATCTATTTATTTAACTATTTAACTATATATCTCATCTCTCAATCTGCTGTAATTACCCTTTCTCCAGAAAAACATTTCTATCTACGGAATGGATGAATAATGAATAATGGATATCAAAAATCAGAAATCAAAAGTTGAATGACAAGAGAAAGGAAATAACAAAAAGCAAAAAGGAAAAGAAAAGCAAAAATATAACTTCATACTCGTCGTACTGTAACCTAGGAGAAAATATGAGAATGAAAATGAAAATTGAAGAATACTCGTAACATAACATAAAAGATCAAAGAAATAATAAAAGTAAAAGTAAAAGCAAAGCTCCTAACGTAAAACCAACCCCCTCTCACCCCCGCCTATTCCCCCCCTAAAACACTCATCCTCTTCCCATCCTCGTCCTCCACGAAAATCTAACTTTCTTCCCTCCCTTCTTCCCCCTTTTCCCC